GTAAACTAACCCTCAAATGAAGGCAGGCAATGGAACAAGGATTATCCAACATCACAAGTGGCTGTCCCATGACTATTGGCCAAAAAGGTTCAGACAACTGGTTGATGCAGAGGAAATAGCCTGCCCTTAGAAATATGACATAACAATAAGTGGTCGAAGCTGAGGAGAGCTTGGTCCTTGGGGAGTTCTCATCAAGCAGACCTTGTAGGCTACAGTTCTCATTGCTCTCTAGAGACTGCCCAATGAAGATTAATGTCAGCCAAACTAAAGAACTGATCATTGACTGCAGGAAGAAAAGGAGGAGAACACGCCCCCATTTACATTAACGGAAGCGGAGGTTGAGAGGGTGGTCAGCGTCAAGTTCCTCAGAGTGATGATAACTGACAACCTGTCCTGGACTTCCCATGTAGATGCAACGGTCAGGAAAGCACAACAATGCCTCTTCTTCCTCAGGCGGCCTAGGAAATTTGGCATGTCCATAAGGACCCTCACTAACTTTTACAGATACATCATAGAAAGCATACTGTCTGGGTGCATGACAGCCTGGTATGGCAACTGCTCTGCCCAGGATTGTAAGAATCTACAGAAGGTGGTGTGCACAGCCCAGACCATCATAGAAGCCAAGCTTCCATCCATGGACTCCATTTACACATTTCATTGTGGCGGAAAGGCTATCAACATCCAAGACCCATCCCACCCCAGTAATGCTCTCCTACAACCTCTTCTGCCACGCAGAAGATACAGAAACATGAACACACGCACCAGCACGTTCAAGAACAGCTTCTTTCCTGCTGTTATTAGACTGATGAATGGATGGTCTAACTTCAAATAATGCTGATCTTGTTAATGTGATCTTGTCTAGCGCATGGTGTAACCTGTATGCCTTACTCTGTCCAAGTCTTTTTTTTTAACCCTATGATTTGTATATCCTTGCTTACAATGATCTGCCTGTACTGCTCACGAAGCTTCTCACTGTACTTAGGTGCACATGACAATAAATCAAATCAAATCAAATCAAATCAAACCAGTCACAAGGCAGACGGTAACTGGACCAGAAGGAGAGGAAGAAGATGTAGGCAAGAGTTTTATAACCTTGGGTAGAGAGCAGGATGTTGTCCCCAACATTTTAGCAAGACTTAAACATACCTTGCTGACAGCCTGTTTGTCCTCTGGTATCAGTGAACAATCCTCAATTGTCTCAGTTGTATACTTCCTTTATCTAATTAACTAATGCATCCTATCTACACTGTTGCTTTTTAACAAACTCAAGAAACTATCAGAAAATTGCTTACAAATTGTCAACGGCCTGTATTAGGTGACTGTGATCATGAACCTCGAAAAGTCACCCAAGCAATCCTGAAGTCATAAATAGGATTATGTTGCTATGGGCTGTTTTACTTTCTCAATTGAAAAACAGCAATCCATTGTCTGTGTAGCAAGCTCATCTCTGAGGCAATGAAAGAAATTTGAAAAATAAGAGTGTAATAATAACTAAGCTGATGAAAAGGCTTTAGAAAATTAACTAAATGGTAAACAAAATTAGAAAAAAAAATCCGCAAGTGCATACTGGAACAAGACAAACCATCTTTTGCCTCATTAGGGTGATCATTCATGTTGATTAATGGAATCCTGCTTTTCTATCAAGCAGTTCACAAGTGCTTCAGCACATTGGTTATTGGAGTGCATGTTGATTCTTTCTTCATTACCCCCACATACATTTTTGCATACACTTCAATTAAGACAATGAACATTATCTTTTCTCCATATAGGTATATTTTTTGTTTGGACATGTGATTGAGAACAGATTGCCTTAGTGTCATTAACAAATAAAGGGACAAATCTGCAGGTGCCTCCTTATGTTTAGGAACATAAACAAGTTTGGTTTATAATAAAAGAAACTCATAATAATATTGGCTACCAGGCACACTATACCTTGGTGTTGCCCACAGCTACAAAATGCCCTGAAATCCACCAGTAGATATCACATGCATTTGCCTGGACCACCCAATTAAGGCCAGAGGAGAAATATTCTGCCAAAGCGACTGTTCTTGTTGGTCGTGCTTATTCTACAGCAATTCCTGATCCCAAAGTGTGGTGGATGCTCACTCATTAAGTATATTCAAAGGAGAGTTTGAAATTTTTTGGATGCAAAGTGAATAAATGAATACGGGTAAAGTAAGGCAGGGTGGAGTTATGTAGAAGATCAGCTGTGCTATTTCTCAATGCTGGAGCAGGCTGAATGGCTCCTCCCAAAAGCCTACTCCAGTTCCTCTTCCCTGTGTTCAGGTTAAACTAAACAGGGACTACAATCTTTAACAGTTTGTTTAGGCACGAAACACAGTTTCAAAGGCTGAATGAGCCGTAAACAGTCAAGTAGCTTTTAAACAAAAACCTATTGCATCAGTATATTTATAAGATTTTCTCTTTTTGGTAATGTCAAATATTACTGCAATGGATTCAGACAACACAAGAACATTTCAATCTTACCAGTACACAAAAAGGTGCATGCGAACTCTATCACTCGCAAGTTCTTGTCTATGCCACACATCATCCTGGCTTGGAACTCTTCCTCATTGACATTCCTTCAGAACTGAAGATGATGGAGGGATGAAACAATCCAAAGCTGGAGCTGCACACCCAGCCATAGATGGTGTTTGATGAGAATGGAGAGTAGGATGTTTGGGTTTCCACTTGCTTCTTCCTCCATTTTCATTTGGCTTACACTTGGGCCTATTGGAAATGCTCAAGATGGATTGCATTATTGTAGATGCTTCCCCTCCAATTCTGACAGTCTTATACTACAGATTCCTTGTCAGTGCGCTTATTGCATTTTTTTAGGGAGACATTAAAGATATTCATTAAGTATTTCCACTGCCCTAATGGTAACTGCTTGCTAAAATTAAGCTCAGAGTAAGTTTTGTTTTGGAAGTCTTGTGTCAGGCATGTAAACGTTGTGGACTGCCAAACACAGCTGACTGACCGTGACCAGTACCATGATACTAGAGATATTGGTCTCAGACAGCACTTTAACATTGAAGTTTCTATCCTGTCAGTGGATTTTCAGGATTTTATCGGGGCATGGCTTGTGATATTTCTCCAGGGATTTAAAATGTACAGGAAGATTGGTAACATTGCTACTCTTTAGACCACTAGCTTTGTGTTGGGCTCAAGATCTTAGTCATCAATCATTATCCTTCTCAGATTAGTCAAATTGTGCAGACTGGAGGTGATCTTGAATTTCACCATTGACATGTGCCCTCACTGAGAGCAGGCTCCTAAACTATAGGAATTAATGCACATTGTCCAGTGACTCATTGTGGATCTTGAAAGTCAAGCGGCAGTGTTGCATGGCAGGAGCAAGGTTGTAGAAGGACTTGGTCTTCCATTTGTTTCGCTTAAGGTTGTATCCCTCTATAAATGTATCGATGAAGTTTGGAGCTCTGAGTATGAAAATATACAAGCACCATCTATGTACTCGATGATGGAAGCTGGGGTGGCCTTGGTCCTAGACTGGATGCAACACACATTGAACAGTTTCTCTCATTTTGTACACCCTCATGAAGCTTCATGGAGATAGGGTGGAGTGTGGTGGGTAAGGAAGATGGAGAAGAACATTGGAAGAATGACACAACCTTGCTTGACCCCAGTTTGTACATGTGTTGGGTCAGTGGTGTATTTGTTGCTGAGGATCATGGCTTTTATGCCATATTTGCAGGAGCTGGAGGAGGATGATGAACGTCTTTGGGTAACCAAATCTAAGAAGGAAGCTCCATGGTTCCCCTTCTTTCACAGTCATCATCCTTGCTGTGGTTAAAAATGGCCATGAATGTGGCCTGTCTGCCATAAGAAAGGCCATTGCAAAAATTCCCTTTGGAACTATTTCACTATTCCTTCACATTGCTATGTCAAAAAACCTGGGACTCCCATTCTGACAGCAATGTGGGTATAACTATACAACTCCCTTAACATTTTAAAGTAAACGTAGATTAATTATTGATAAACAAGGGATCAATGCCTATCGAGTCTAGATGGAAGACTGGAATAATCAGATCAGTCATAATCTTATTGAATGGCTGAGCAGGTTCACGGGGCTGAGAAACCTACTCTCCTAACTCCTAGTTCATATGTTAATTTATGCTCATATGTATGTATGTACATATGAAAATGGTAGCAGTTCAAGAATGTAGCTTTTTATCAACTTCTCAAGGGCAATTAAGGATGGGTAATAAATGTTAGCAAGTGATGCCTACATCCCATGAACAAAATGAAAAACATCACTGATCAGGTTATTTATACAGAACAATATTAAAAAGCTAAAAAACATTGCTGGAGAACAGCACCATACTTTGCACAAAACTGGTCAGCCATAATTTGTCATTGATCTTTTATTCTCAAAATGTTGTCTCTTCTGTCTCTGATAAATACCTTAAACTTACTGCACAGTTTTCAGTCTACCAATGTTTCAAAACAATTGAGAATCTTATGAAAGTTGAATTTGCTTAAAATCGTAACAAAATATGCTAATTTGAAATAAGAACCAAATCGCCAAATCAGTTTTGAAGGCTTCTAGGATACATCGTTGCAGATGGTTCCCAGCAAACCCACTTTCAAAAGGAGCTCCGGGGAGGATGTTAAGAAGCCACTCACTGATTTTGGTAAAAATCCAAGAAAGCATTACAAAAGTTACAAAACGGTAACTAATCAGTGTTGAAGGAAATAGAGTTCATGGGTATGCCATCAAGCACAGATGGCTCTCAGCATGTCTACTTTCAAAGAGAGCTCAGAGACAGAAGATAGGAAGTCAATTCTAAAATTTGGTCAAAATCCAGCATGTACTTTAAACAAATGACGTGCAAAGTTCTACTGGTGTGTAATGATTAGACAAAAAAACACATTAAAATTAAAGCAAGTGAATTCCCAAATTGAGTGACACAGGGATTACAGTACATTTTAAATTTTGCAAATTTAATCTATAATTTCTTTTATAAAATCACTTCTGCTTGCACATAGTTCTGAACTAATTTTATTCCACTTGCTTGAAACTCTGGTACATAACTGAATAATGATGATGTTCTTACTAGCTTGGATCCTTGTTTGAACCCTCTTTATCTTGCAGCAAAATTTTTAAAAAGTTACAAAACCACTTTTTTCAATACTGTCTTTACTGTATTAAACTGAATATTTACAATTTGTACAAATGTCTGAGCTCCACCAAGATACAAAATACAGTTCACAAGATGCAATAACCCAGGATCCAGTTTCAACTGGAATACCATTGCACTACAAAGGACAGAAAGTCTTTCAAAGAACAAATGAACATCTGGTTAGGCAACTCCACAAATGCAGCAATTCAGGCAATAACAAAAATACAACATGAGGTCAGAGAGGATTCAAATGCTGTTCTAATAATCCAGGGTTCTACAAAGCAGGGTCCTGGAATTTTTTGGGACTACCAAAAACAGCTAATTGCGCCTATTCGATGGAGTTTTCTTTGATCCAGTCAATCATTGGTGCACTGACGATCAGTCCTTCAGTATAGGCATTCAGAAAAACATCTTTTAAAAGTTCTGAAGCCTAGGACGGTGCATTTGTTTTTGAAGAAGAAGTTCTAGACATGTTTTCTCAGTTGCAGATGTTAGTAAATAACTTCATAGACAGATGCTTTCTTATCTCCAGAGCCAGTGACTATATATTTATCATCCACTGAGATATCACAGCTCAACACTGAGGATGACTCTTTAGACTGTAAAAGAAGAGGGAAAAAAAAATCAGTAAATCTAAACTAACCAGAATTAATTTACAATGATATCTTTACATTTACAAATCATAATAGGGTTCAGAGCCTTGAGGACAATTTCATAACATGAAGTCTACATCATCTACTCTTACATGCTTTCATATCCTTCTCTTCATTTTCTCTATCACCCTCTCCCACATTCCACAAACAAGTGCACTTGAATGACAACAAAATGTAGCCTGTAATCAAACCCATCCTTCTCCTAAGGGGAGGGAAGCACTGTATCAATTCTGAGTCAATAGTTCCTAGTTGTTCTGTAAATCAAATTTTAAAATAACGTAAGTGTTTTTAAGTGGTCAAATGCCAAAACAGGTCTAATTTTAGCCTACACTCAAAGCCAAAACCCACAAAGCCATATAACACATGAGTCTGCTCTTTGAAGGAGTTGTCCAATTAGACCTACGCTTCTGCTTTTATCCCAAACTCCGACAAAAACATTCAAGTTTGTAAGTACTACTGAGATTTCTCCAACCACCATACCTGGCAGTGGATTACAGACCATAACTCAATGAATAAATGAATTTCTAATTATCAGCTCCTACCTCTTTTGCTTAAATCTATGCCCTCAGAACACCCCTCTCACACCTCTTCTTGAGCTGCTTTGTTCTATGAAGAGAACAATTCCAGCTTCTGCAGTATCTTCACATATCTAAAACCATCTTATTATCATGCTGGTAAATTCCCTTCGTAGCTTCTCCAAAACCTTGACATCAACATACATGCAGAAATGTCAGAGACTATAATGAAGTGTTGAAAGGTCGCTTAAATCGTATAAACTTTAAGGCAAACGTTCGCTGGTGTACCAACTTCTTAAAAGGCCTTTAAGCTTCTTCATTGCCTGATGTTGTTAAAACATTCTTGGAATGGGTAATCATTCATGACCTGTCCTGAATTACTTTTCAGAGTGGGGTGTAACGGTGGCTCAGTGGTTAGCACTGCTGCCTCACAGCACCAGGGACCTGGGTTTGATTCCAGCCTGGGGTAACTGTGTGGAGTTTGCACATTCTTCCTGTCCCTGTGTGGGTTTCCTCCAGGTGCTTCAATTTCCTCCCACAGTCCAAAGATGTGCAGGTTAGTTGCATTGGCAATGATAAATTGCCCATAGTTTCCAGGGATGTGCTGGTTAGGTGGATTAGCCATGGGGAATGCAGGGTTACAGGGATATGGTGGGGAGGTGGGTCTGGGTGGGATGCTCTTTGGAGGGTCAGTGTGGACTCAATGGGCTGAATGGCCTGCTTCCACACAACAGGGATTCTATGATTCAGTAGGTGGTGAAACTTCTTACTGAAAAGCTAAAGTTAATTTTATGTAGTTCCTAGTTCATTTCAGAGGGTAGTTCTGGGGTCACTATGTTGGTGTGAGACTAAAGTCACACAAAGACCAGATTGGGTAAGGATGACACTTATCCCTCCCATAGGGCATCAGTGAACCAACTGAGACTTCATGAACATCTAACAATCTCATCATTCCTTAAACCTGCTCCAGTACAAACTTTTCAAAGTTATGACATTTGAAGTTAACAGGGAACCATACTTTTCATACTTAACAGTTGCCACAGTACTCTTGATCTGTATGAGTTTGCTTAATAGTTTCACAGAAAATTATAGAAATTAAGTTTTGGCTGGATGGTTTGCCTTATAATTACCTGGAATATGCTGGCTCCATAAGGCGTCCTCCATGCATTTAGAAGGTTATCTTTTCCAGTGCTTACAAACCATTTACCTGTGTCAATATACCAAAAATCAGTAAAGTTCACCATCCACTGTCTGGTCAAAATTTAGTGCTAATCAATAGCTTAAAACCAATGGCCTCCTTCCTTTATCTTATTCTTTACTTCCTCTCTTGGTCAAAAAATTCAAAGAACTTAGGCCCCTGCATACTGACATCACAGATTCCCCAACCAGGTCAACAGGTCCATACAGAATCTCTTGCCATGGTATATACACCCAGTTATGACATGCTTGAGGGCAGTGTTGTGATTTTTTTTTGGCAAATCTCTTTCAGGAACTGCACCATAGTCTCAACAAATCCTAAGCACGGGAAAATAAGATTACTTCCACTATATTTTTGGAAAAGAGAGAGAGTGCGTGATCTGTCAGGTGCAGCTGTAGTACAGATATCCTTGAACCACAATCACAATCATGCTATTATTTTGAACTACTCCAGTAATGATTCACTAAAACTAAGACACAAACAGCAAATTTTATTCATTTTAAACATTGCTTTCTTCGAGTAGCAACTATGGCTTAGAATATGGTTAAAATCTGCTGGAATCAAAAAAGAGGCATGATGTCAAGCCAAAAAACAGACAGGTTTCTTATTCCTAATAAAAATCCAGCAGCAATTACAGACTAAAAAGGCAGGGCAGAAAAACATCGGGGTGAATAATCTGCTAACCGTAAACGTATTTGGGCAAGGTCTCTCAGGATAAGTGATGCCCCAAGAACTGTAACTCATCATAGATTCAATAACTTTAGGAATAAGAGGAGAAAGTTGTGAACAGGATAACTGAACCACAGCTAATGGTCCTTACCACAATACGCAAATTTAAGGGACAGAACACAGCTTTCATGGAGGTGCAGTTGATATTTGTCTGGTTTTGTTACATGCAGCACTTCGACATTGCTGCTCTCCATCCCCACAGCCAGCCATTCTCCAGTCGGACAGTAACCAAGAGAGAAGATCTTTTTCAAAAGAAAAGAAATGAGTATTTAGTTAGAAATTATGCTGTAAAATTCTAGGTATCATAAAAGCCTATTTTGACCGCAAGCCCTCCCTTCCCATGCCAACCACACCTTGTTTGTGTTTTGTTGGCTTTGTTATCAGCAGAAGATCCATTTTCTCCTCTTCACACCCAACACTTAATAACACCCATTTTATCAATCTATCCCCCCATTACCACATTAGCACTTTGCTTTTGTCACCCTCACCATCTGTTCCACTTGTTCCTCCGCCCCCTGTCAACAGTAGTCATATCAGACTTGAAATGTTAACTCTGTTTCTCCCTCGACAGATGTGGCCAGACCTGCAAGTTTCTTTATCATTTTCTCTTTTTATTCCACATATCCATTAGCTGTGACTAAAGAAACTTGTTTGAGGCGGGATGGTGGGTGGGTTACAGGGACAGGAGATCTGCTTCCAGATTTGCATCAATACTGTAAACCAGTACCAAAAAATGTGTCCATCAGCAGCCTAGGGAGAACTTTACAAATTAATTTTGACCTCTCATTTAGAGTTGCACAAAACCACTGCTTGGTGCTTTCTTGCACAAGAGATTGGGAATTTGGTACTGATAAGCTTAAGAGGAGGTGGAAAAAAAGTATACCACCTGCCAAAAATAAATAATTTGCTTTCAAACTGGTTTAGAACAAGTTGTCATTCTAATCTCATCTTCATTTCACATTCTCTCACTATCTCCACGTTGCATGATAAACCTGGGATTACAGCATATCATTTTCAAATGTTATTTTGAACCTCCAACATCTATAGCAACTATCCCTTGGGCCAAATTAAAAACATTTTTTATGGTTCAGACTAATGTGCTGATGGATTGTTCCAAAAATCTTTTCTATTTGGATTGCTGCGAAATCTGGGGAGGTGGTGATGTCGTGGTAATGTCACTGGACTAACAATCTGCAGGGCTAGGGTTTTGGGTACTTTGGGTTTAAATCCAATTGGAAAATTTGGAATCTAAAGCTTGTCTGATGGTGACCATAAAACCATTGTTTTGTTGTAAAAACCCATCTGATTCACTAATCTCTGTTAGGGTAGGAAGTCTGTTGTCTTTATCTGGCATGGTCTACATTCATGTCCAGACCCACAGCAATGTGGCTCGCTCTTAAGTGCCCTCTGAAACAGCCTGGCATAACACTCATTTATCTACAAAGTCTTTCAAATCAAAAGCCAAAAGATCACCTAGCATTGACAAATGTAGAATTGACACGAGTAAAGCCAGCCCTGTTGAGCCTGCAAAGTTGTCCCTTCTAAAATCTGGATGCTCCTGCCAAAATTTGGAAAATTATTCCATGGACTGGTCAAGCAGGAGCCATGGTCCCAAACACAATCATTACCATCCCTGATTATGTCCTGTCCAACTGGTAGGACAGGCAGAGCAGAGGTAGTGACACAGTGGTATACAGTGGGAGGGAGTTGCCCTGGGGGTCCTCAACGCTGACTCATGCCTTTAGTGTAAGGAAAGCCCCAGCTGATACCCACTTCTCACCGCCAGCCCTCCCACTCATACAGTTGATGAATTGTTACAGCTCCCTGTTGAACACCAATTGGAGGAAATAATGAGGGCAGAGAATGTACTCTGGGTAGGGAATTTCAATGCCCATCACCGGGAAGACCACTGCTGACAAAACTGCCAGGTCCTGAAGGACGTAGCTGCTAGACTGGGTATGTGGCAGATGACGAGAGAACAAACAAGAGGGAAAAACGTATTTGATCTTGTCCTCACTAATCTACCTGTTGCAGATGCATCTGTGCATCACAGTATTGGTGGATATGGCTACCACAGAGTTTACATGGAAATGAAGTCCCAGGTTCACATGAAGGATAGTTTTCATCACTCCCACTATGCTAAATTGAGTAGGTTTCAAACAAATGTAGCAAGTCAAGACTAGGCATCCATGAGGTGCTGTGGGCCATCAGCAGCAGCAGAATTGGATTCAACCACAAGTCTGTGACCTCTTGGTACGGTAATGCCAGACTGTTGTTAGATGTATCCACTGAGAGCTGTGTTCCGTACCATCACTTGCCATTTGCAAAAAGCAAGCTGTAACTAGAAAACGCCTGTGATGTGGAGCCAGTGTCAGTTTAATGAGCAAAAGTGCAGGCTCCATTTCTGCCGGACAGGAGGACAGTAAGGGACAAAGGCGTCAATCATGCACTTGTAAAATGAAAATAGAAGTCATACACAATCACATCATCAAACATGTGCAGTGCATATATTCTGAAAGTGTTTGGGTTCAAATGCTTGTCACAGGTGATCTACATCATGTTACTGGCCCTTGCAAATTGCACATAGAGATTTCAGTGAAGCAGATGTTATCACCACTGGCTTTAAATAGGTATATACAGGCCACAATCAACACAGTACCTGTGAGATTTTCAATGACAATATGGGGCATAGAACTGTAAGTAGAATGACAGATGCTACTGCATGCAAGAGGAACTTCCATGGTTGATTTAGGGTTGGGATGAGAATGGTTCAAAACACGTGGAACAATCCCAAGAGACTGTTCTGTGTTGCTCACTCTATTGGTGCATCAGCTCTACCAACTTCTGTGCATCAGGAGTAAATCGTTAGCCAAACGATTATAAAAGTGATCACAAACCTCAGCAGTGTGCTTTCCTTAACAGACAGGGAACTGCAATCAATCTGAAAATTATGCTTGAAACTGATTTTTATAATGATTGAAAACTACGGGCAACTATATGCAGCTTGCAATTTTATCAGGCAGTGGAGGGTAACTCATTGGCAACAAATCCCAATATTAAAGTCTAAGTGGGTACCTGGCAGTTTCAACTCATTGCTTGTTTCTTGAGGCTCTATCTTCTTCAGCATTCCCCAACACCACAGGGCTTGCTCTATGGGCGTCAACCTCCTGCAACCTTTGTTGATGTAGGTTGGTATTGGCAAAACACCAGCATCACCACATCTTTAGGGCACATTTGGGATTCACTTCAAGTCTGCACTTTGGAGTTCACTGATTCCTTTCATTAGAATGCTGCTACCAGACATTTTTGTGCGCAAGGACAGGCAGCCATCTCATGCATCTGAGCAGGGCATATCTCATGGCTCTTACCTTGCTTTCTTAATTTTCACTCATTTCGTACCCATGTGAATGCTCACAGCATCATTGCTTGCGTTGTCTTTTAGCACAGGCAGATAGCCAGGCACTTAGTCATGTTTGCCAACAATAGACAATCAAGGGGGACTATGGTCAGTCAGGGGCCCCATCTTTCCTAGTTAGGAAAGGTAGTAAGGTATCACAACTGTTCGAATGGGAAGCACAGAGAGCAGCTAAGTCTAATAGTTTGAGTGGATGGGTGGTTGAGAGCCATTGAGGCAAGATACTGCATGCAATTTTGAGAGTGGTAGACCACGTGCCTTGATGGAACGTGGATGCAATCATACAGTTGCGGCATGTATGAAGTAGCAGATAGAATATGGTGGTGCAGAGCTGTGAAGATCATCAAGCTTCTTGCAGCATTGCCATGCACTCCTCTAGACTGCACACAGCACACTGACCCAGGTGGTTACTTCAGGCCAGGTAGCAGCATTTGAAACGGTGTACAGCTGCAGCTTAAATATGGCACCTGTGACATGAACACCAGAAAGCCCTAGCCTCCGGTGAACATGTACTTCCTTGCACTCGGCAGCAACGAGAATGATGCTACGGAGTCCTGGTGCGTACTTAAATGACGTGAGCAATACAAAATTGTGAGAGGTAACTCATTCTAGAGTGTTTGGAGAGAAACGTTCTAGAAAACTGCCCAAAATTGACACTTGGCCAATTTTAGGTAAAAGTCAACCCATCGCATTCTTTTGTTCATGCTCTACAAAGTCAGTAAAATTAATTTGTGAGTATAAATGCCTGCTGTCAAATGCTGATGACTCTTAACTGCTAACAGTTATGAATGAGAAACTGCAGCTTTCTCACAGTTGATTATTTTTTAAATTGTAGTTATAGTGCAGCTCCAGACACACAAAGAAATTAGTATTAGTGTTAGATTTCCAAATACCTGAGACGTGAAGTCATGCTGCTGCAGTTGCCTTCCTTCTCTGAGATCCCAGGATCTTACAGTGTTGTCTAAACCTCCCGTCCAAAGTTTGGTACCATCATTTGAAATGTCAATACAGCTGGCTCCATCTGTGTGACCCTGGAACTGCCTGATTAAACAAACAAATAGAATAAAGACTTCCTCTGCAAGTCTTAGGCAAACACAATCGCGTTGTTAGTTTTGGACTTCAGATCAACATGTTTCTTCACTGTCTGGTATTGCATTTGGTTAAACAAACCGCAGCAGGACATATCATTAGTTCATGATCTATGAATTGCAAATATTACCCAGGTGCAACAAGTCCAAAGCAAAATTTCTCTTCTTTGTAAAATTATGTCAGCAGAACCACAGCTGTAAAAAACCACATTGTTTCCCCTTTAATCAAAGTCAGTGCCAAACTCATTTGTTATTAAACTCTGACTATGCTTACTTAAAGAAAGCATCCACATAATTACATACAAGGACTAACTTCTCATTGAATTCTGAGATGATTAGCATTTAATGCCACTTTTAGATTACAAAAGTGGTCACTAGGGAGCAGCGCTCAAACAAAACGTAGAATCTTCATCTACTCCTTTTCATTTTTACTTATCAAAATCAAGTCCAGGCACGTTTAATTCTGGTAGTTAAAAAGATAAGGGTGCAACTTGATGATTATACTGTACTTTTGATGAAACATCTAATAGCAGTTCAAAGTCTATAAAAGGACACATCCTTGAAGTCAGAGGTGCTACTTTTTTTTCTATTTATTTATTAATGGGATGAGGGCATCACTGGCTATGCAGCATTTATTGCCCATCCCTAATTGCCCAGAGGGCAGTTCAGAGTCAACCATATTGCTATGGGTCTGGAGTCACATGTAGGCCAGACCAGGTAAGGATGGCAGTTTCCTTCCCTAAAGGGCATAAGTGAACCAGATGGGTTTTTCTGACAGTCGACAGTGGATTCATGGTCATCATTAGATTCTTAATTCCAGATGTTTTATTGAACTCAAATTCCACCATCTGCCATGGTGGGATTCGAACCCAGATCCCCAGAATGTTATCTGGATCTTTGGATTAACAGTCCAGCGATAATACCACTAGGCTATTACCTCCCCAAAGCTACATGTCTGATATTCATTTAACTCACAATATAAAGTAGACATGACATGACATGCAGTAATCTAATTAAATGTATTTTTTAAAAAATGACTTGATTATAATTAAGAAATAAGATGATTTTTCTCTTCCAAAATATTAATTTCTAAGCACATATCTATCATATTTTCAACAACCTTCCAATGTAACCAACTGCAGAACAACAGGAATCCAGTTTCTGCAATTAAACACATACCTGACTAATGTCTGATTGTGCAGATCCCATACAGCAATATTACCGTCACTACAGCAGGAGAAACAGACTTTGGAGTCAGGACTGATAGCCAGAGCATAGCAGGCAGGAGCAGAGGATGTCAACTCTGCCTTTATACGAGGAGTTGGAGCTGCCAGGTCCCAGATAGATAACGTACTGGCTTCCCCACCAACAATCAGGGTACAACCATCAGGTAATAACTTGCATGATCGAATGTAGTTGTCTCTGTTCTGTGGAATAAGGAGTAGAGCTGTTGTGTTATCTCTTTCTGAATTTATTTCAGACTTTCATTTAGCAAGATTAGCAAAAAACCCAGGAACTAGGAAAAACTACTCAAAGTCATTTGTAAAACTGAATGTTTAGATAGGGATGAACTTTCAAATGTGGGCATACTCCAGGCACCAAAGTGTTTTGCATATCTGCCATACAATATTTGCATTTAAGGGAGACTGGTAATTTTCTGCTGTGTTATGGCCAGTATGAATTTGCATTATTCCCCATGTGGTGAAGAGATAAATACCTCTTAATCAGCTCGAGTTAAGTAAGATTTTCTAATGTTCTTTAAACAATAACTTCTTTTATCCATCCATTCATCCACAAATTTACCCTGAATTCCAAAAGATCCATAAAAATGCCTTCACACCAGTTCAGCCCTCCACTTGTAAATAGGAAAAGTCTTTAAAACTGTAGAAGTTATTTGACTTCTTAAGCCAAGTGTGGTGGACCCTTTGGATTTTCTTTTCATACCTTGTAGTCAACCACACACAATTATAATAAATTCCTTGTCTGTACAAATGGTTTCAATGACCACTGCTGAAATCTGGTTGACTAAATGTGTAAGCAGTCTGTGTTTGTTTCATCTTTGTACCATTACCATCAGTGCTACAGTTCTGAGAAACCCCTTCAAACAAAGCAGATACTGAAATTTATCAATTAGCAATGTAGGCAGGGTGTTTAGTTCACTTTTTCCTCAAAACTTCTAAAGTTAAATACAAAGGGTCAAATTTGTACATAAGTTGCTTTTAAGCAAAGAAAAAAAAAAGCACATTTTTCATAACAAAGCTTCTAAACAATTCCTTATCTACTGTTAATTTAAAATGCCACAGAGGATGCCTAAAATGCGTGGAAATCCACCATTACACAATAAAATTTCAATCCGTTTTCATGTAAGATGATAGCACATTATGAGCAGAACTACAGAAAAGGATTGAATATCCTTTGTTAACTAATAAAACAATTTATATACTCCCACACAAATCAATTTGTAGTCATCAGTTTATCACTGAATCTTTCAGGTGTTTCTTCAGGTTTTCCTACGTCTGTTTTTTTTCAGCTAGGCTTCAAACAGACCAGTTTTTTAGCAAGTGATGTGAAAATTGAAACAAGAAAGCAGAATCAAAAAGTCACTTGGTTTTGTGTCTTGCAATGTCTTAGGAGACATTACTCAGATCAACATTTTGAGAGTTGTCATCTACTGGAAACATCAGAATTAAAGCCAGAATCACAATCATGGGCCTATTGTGAAACTATCGCTAAGGCTGTTTTGAATTTGAGATCAAGTGGAATCTGTAAAATTATATGGAAATACAACTCGAAATTTTCTCACCAGGTCTGCCTCCTCATCAGTGAACTTGTAAAACTAACAATTCTTTATTATTAGACTCAGGTTCTAAAGGAATTACAGGCACACATAAATATTAGTGTCCAACTGAACTTTTCAATCTCACTGGTGAATCTGGTTCAGTTAGCTTTGATGGGGGAGGGGGGCGGAGATTGGGGGAATAAGAATATTTCAAAATTGGCATTAAATATGCACATCAGGAAACACAACTCACTGTTATTTCCTTATCTGTGAACAAACAGCTACCTAGAATTGTTACAATTGTTTCAGATTGAATCATTAAAAAAAGGAACAAAAAAGGAACTGGACTGCAATAGCAGTTTGCATTCACTTACCAAGCAGTCCAGCTGTGACACTGGGCTCTTGCTGCCAGACTGGCTGATATCCCAAACCTTCACACAACCCTTCCCACCAGTGTACACATGTCTTGTGGGATTGCTGATGGTCACTGCGCACACAACCTCACCATGGCTCAGTGTGTTGATTTGCCGAGCATGTCTTGGGATTCCTGGTCCGATCAGGGCATCAGGAGGAAAAGGCACAGGCTGCATTTGTCCATCCGCAGTGACATGAAATGAATAGGCTCTATTTAGCAAAAGTTGAAAGAAAACAAAACTGAAGGATTTGGGCTAACTTTGCTGAATACCGACCGCGTTTTTATTTTGCTTACTATTGCAAGTGACCACCTCCAGCTTACATGCCTTAAGTTAACATTTCACAAACCAGTACATTAAAAAAAACTCTAGAAATACTGTTGCCTTGCTTCATGTTGCAGTGGAGTACGTGCAAGGGTTTTGATTCTCAGAACACAAAAGTTGACATATCTGAAAACACGGGGTCATGGCAAATCACAGAAATGACTGGTCTTAAAACTTGATCAAAATTTAATGTGTAATTACACCTGGTAATTCAACAACTCTTTTGCTCCAAAAGCCTTTAATTATCCAATAATGTGAATTAAGCAATTTTCATATCACAGCAACATGGGAAAACAATGCTAAATGGAATTGTGACCATACTGTACATCTTACATCTGTAGACAACGAAAGTACTGCATCAACAGATCCTTTACTTATTTGAATAAAAATCATTATAACTGTTTGAAAAAGTTAATTTTACTGTCATGAAGAGGAAAGTATAACAACTAACTTCCACAGTTAACATTCAGGAAGAAAAATATAGGGCCTGGTGAAGTGCTAACATAAACTATACAGACATACATATATAAAAAAAAATGAAGCAGAAGAATTTTCATTAGTCACTTACGGTTTTCCACCGGGGATCCCAGTCAAATTTGGAGGCATTCCAGGCACGCGCATGTGAGGATGAGGGTCAAACCCAACCTGTAATTAAAATCCAGTGGATAAACCAAATTGGTTGGCAGTGATCCATAAATTTAAATCAAAAATGTACCAAACATGTGATCCCTGCCTGATGAGGTGTCTTCAGCTACTCTTTTGGTCTTTGGTTTTAGCAGTAAACTAAAAGTCCTAGGCATAGTGATGCAAATGTATGGATTCGGAACATCGACACTGCTGTCCAACAATCTAAACTGCAGAAAAGAGGTCTACAAAGTCTTTTTTTTTGAAAGGAATAATAAAAACAACATTACAACTTTTCTAAAATACAATTTTGACACCATTTCAAAATCACTCAGTTCGCAATAAAATAATCTGGAGTGTTCTGAGTTCATGACAGATGTTATAGATTTTTCTTTAACATGAATAGAAAGCATTTGGACAGTGCCCTTAGTGCAAAACAAAATCCCCAAGTACTTCAAGATGAAAACTAATGTTCAGCAAATGACAGCCTTGAGTGCTGAACAGAAGTTTGGTCAAGGACATGAGTTATAAGGGGTTCCTAAGGAAGAAGAGAGGGGTGGGGACTTCAGTCTTGACTTCCAGAGATTGTGATGAGCCAGTCGAAGACACAGCCTCAAATGTTCAGGTAGATGCACAACAATTCACAAATAGGTTTGAACAAGAGAACTAAAGTATTTAACAGTAAGAATTTAAATTGGTGTGAGTTGGAGATAACAATCAGAGTTTCAGGTAATCTGATGCCTAAGGTGAATGAAGGATGGCAAGAATACCTATAAGGAGGCAAATAGGTTGGGATTAAAGGACGAGACTTTAACCAGTTGACATAGGCAAAAAGGTGTGGAACAAGTTGAGGGGATGGTTGGAGGGAAAATAGATGCAAAATAGATTGGAACTATTGATTGCAACCAAATTAGACTGTAGGAAATAGGAACAGGAACAGGCTAATTATAACAAACTTCATCAAGGAAGGGAAAATAATTTTATGCATTTTACATGACTCCAAAAGTATTAATTTTTAATAATTATTTAACTATTTAGTCCAACTAATAATATTTTACCTCTTAATTTCTGTGTTATATATACATTTAACATGACTTATTCTTAATGGGCTTGACAGGGTAAATGCCTGAGAGGATGTTTCCACTCATGGGACAGTCTAGGATCAGAGGGCAGAGTTTCAGAATTAAGGGGCACCAATTTAAGAACAAGATGAGGAATTTCTTCTCTCAGATGGTTGAGTGTCTTTGGAACTCCTTGTCAAAGAGAGCTTTGAGGGCAGATTCCTTGTGTATATTTAATGCTGAGATAGATAGATTCTTCATCATTGGGGAAAATCAAGGGTTAAGGAGAAAGGGCAGTAGATCGGATGTGAGGAGTATCGGATCATCAATGATTCCAGTGAATGGCAGAGCAAGCTGAAGAGGCAAAATAGCCTGCTCCTGTTCCTATTTCCTACAGTCTAATTTGGTCGCAGTCAATAGTTCCAATCTATTTTGCATCTATTTTCCCTCCAACCATCTCCTAAATGCTCAGCTTTTGCTCAGGCATGCCTTCATTATAATAGCTGCTCGGCATCTTCCCAAAATGGTTATGTTTCATGCATGAGCCCATTACAAGGTACTTACATCTCAAAGTGCCTTAACGGCAGTTAGGGATGGGCAATAAATGATGGCCACGTCACTGACGCCCACATCCCCCAAAGAACAAAAGAAAACAACAAAGCCCGTTCTTCGTTGTGTTCTGCATCTATGAGCAAGGTTCTTTCCATCAATTGTAAAAAAGATGCTCCCTGGTTGATTTCACCCTACATTACGGGTAATGAGAATTGAAGCATACTTGCCTCCCCTCACCCAACCCCACCTGAGAAAGCAACAATGAAGACAACTCCTACATTTTCATACCTACTTTACCATCACATCAGTCTGTGTGACATCAAATTTAAACTATATATTGTGTGGTTTTAAATAAACTTTGGTCTTGATATATGAAATCATGTTAAACCAGTGCTTCGGATTTTTTGGTAATGTCATGAATTCTTTTGAGATGAATTTACATTTCTTGCTAAACTTCTGTCTCCTCTTCGAACATGGTGGCAAATGCTGCAGTACACTTCCGTAGTTTCTCATAACACACTGGCCCCTTCTCGTTGTTGGCTGTTCTTTAGGCGCCTATGCAACAATAATTGGCAAGGTATTTGACACAACAGGCACTACACTGAGCTTATTCACAGTCAGTCTCAGCATCCTTACTTTCAGGAATAGAAGCGGTAAGGATTGCTACTATTAATTACTAGCCACTGCATCCTGTTTGAAAACAAGGCCACACAAAAATTGGGCCAAACTTTAACTAAGCTTGAATAAGCTCAGCTTTAGTGCCTGTTATGTCAGAAATGCAAATTCATCTCAAAAGAATTTATGACATTACCAAAAAATCTGAAGCACTGGTTTAACATGATTTCATATATCAAGACCAAAGTTTATTTGATGTCACACAGCAAGTTATTCCTTGTGAAAGAATGACAGGATTTAAGAACTGTGAAAACAATTACCACCTGAAGAAATAAAAGGATTAGACTACAAACACTGTGCAGGGCTGGATGAAGGGTCTAGGCCCGAAACGTCAGCCTCTCTGCTCCTATGATGCTGCTTGGCCTGCTGTGTTCATCCAGCCCTGCACCTTGTTGTCTCGGATTCTCCAGCATCTGCAGTTCCTACTATCTCAGACTACAAACACTGCTACCTTTAGTTTTATTTTCAAATAGGTATACTAACCATACCCACAAAGATAAATCCTAAAGACGTATTCAAATCTAGTTCATTGCAAAAAATCAGAAATGTTTAAAAGTGTTGGTGAAAGATATCAATAAGGAATGCAGAAAGAGGACAAAGGTTGTTACTTATTGCCCTTGAAAAATGTACTGAGAATACAAGTTGAGAACATTACTAAAGCAAAACGTTGTTGATGCTAGACGTCTGAATTAAAAACTGGAAATGATGACCAGACAGCAAGTGTAGAGAGAGAAATAAAAAGTTAACACTTTGGGGTCAATTGTCTTTCTTCTTCCTGTTCTGATGAACGGGTCAGCTCAAATTACTGATTCTGACCGAAATGATTCTCTCTTAAGTATCATGGTGGAATCAGAAAAACCCTGAGGAAATTCATTCCCTTTGTTTTTATTGATTGAAGATTTAATCTTTGCAAGCAATATTTCATTTGCTTTAAGCTGTCATCTTGAACAGTGCAGCCTCATTTGAAAATATTTCATTATTTTTAAATTGCTCTGTAATTTATTTCATGACTAATGTTGCAACAAAAGCTCATGGCAAATTGTTAAAGATGCTTAATACTTTGCTGCACAATCACCAAAACATTTCAGGTTTTTTAATAACTTGTGCATCTGGTACTTTGTTACTAAGTTTGCTTTACTGGCAAGTGTTCTCTTTATTATGATTAAAACCTCCAGCCAAAATGTCTTAGAACTAGAACATTAAACTTGTTAGATAGTCATAGGGGTATTCAGAGATTTTGCTTTATAGATATTTTGAAAAACAGTAAAAATAATACAATTAAACTTTGAGCATTAAGTGATTATGCAATTTTCAAAGAAATCTGCAGTTCATTTTCCTCCTCTCATCTTTCTCACTCATCTCAAATCCTTTCATTTATAGCATATTATAGGTTTCAGCCTGTTTACACCGCCCGTTCCTTCCTAAGCGAGGATTCAATGCATACATGTGACCATACAAGCTCCTCTCCCCACAATGTTAAGCTGATTTATTTAGTTTATGCAATGTCCATGCTGTCAACATTTAAATCATCTGTAGACAGATTTATAGAAGTGGCATCCTAATATTTTTTAAAACTATTGGGACATTAAACTGGAGTTAATGCCAACAGTGAAACATGTACAGGAATACGCCTTCAGGACTCTTTTACTCTTTGTACTGCAGGTGGTCGTGATCTTGATTTATACTGCAACTTTGGTATGCAAGCTCTTCAGAGTGATGTTAAAATTTGTGTTCTAGTAAGAAATTTATAATTTCATCATGAATTATGACCAAGACAAATCATCCATTATTCATGTTGGAATTACTTAGCTTGTTTATGTAGATATGAGTCTTAAATTTATTCTTTAACAAGCAGGAAAGGCATGAAATCAAATCCAATCATGGCAGCTGGGGAATTTAAATTCAGTTAATTAAATAAATCTGGGTTAAAGCTAGCGTCAGTAGTAGTTACTTTGAAAGAATCAGATTGTTTTAAAGCTCACTTGGTTGGCAAATGTCCTTCAAAGAAGAAAATCTGCTGTCCTTATACGGTTTGGTGTAAATATGACTGGATCTACAGCAATGTGAGTGACTCTCAAATGATATGGTCTAGTAAGTCACTCAGTAGTATTTAACCACTAGGAAAATATCTAAGAATGAACTTGGATGGACCATTGGCATCGATCTGGTACTGGACACGACAAAAGCATAGCCAACCCAATCAACACCAAAAAGTTCTCACTAATTTGTGGGGACCTGTGCCTAAATATTCATACTCTCAGAATTAAACCTTTGAATCAATGTCCCAGACATCTCTATCAGCATCCCTGGACATGACCTGGTCTATTAGCAGAATAGCTCTATCAGAGGTGTTGTTTCAATGATAAGGAGGAGTGATCCTGGGAGCTCTCAAAATCGATGCCAAACCCAAGAAGTCTCAAAGCATTAGTTTACACACAGACAGAAAACTCCTACTTATTATCACCTTCACCATATCTCAACTTGTAAATCATATGACACCACCTGTTAAGAAGCATTAAGCATAGCAAGATGGAGAACGCACTTGGGAATATTGATGCTCTCCACTTGAAAGTGACACAGTAGCTCTATTATTGACTGAGCTGGCCAGGTTCTAACTGCCGAAGCTGCTAAATAGGGCCTGTGCTGAGAACCAACAGAGGAAAAAGCTATTGATTTAACTCCCACCAAAATACTGGTCACGCAGACATTTTTCTTGGCAGTATTGATAGGAGCGACCACAGTATAGCTGTGATCGTACTGTACCTTCAGGAGAGATTTATTCTGTGCTGTTTCTCTTGCAGTGAGATTTTGCCATAGTGGTGTTAAAATGTCTCCTTCAGAAGCATTGGATAAACAGCTTTGAGCTCCCTGAGTGTTTTATTGAAATTAGACAAAAGAAGCATGAGTGGGCAGAGTCAAACGCACACAAACCCAGGTCTTAGTTTGGCTTTCACTTGGGATTTTTAGAACTGATACAGTGTTCTCTCTGCTACAGCAAAAAGCTTGAGCTCTCTCTCTCTCTTCTGCTAATTATTTTTCTTTCAGTGTTCCTTTCTCCTGGACAGTAAAGGATACAGCACATGAGAAAATCTGATTTGCTGAATTTACTTTTGCCAGAAGGGTCACTGGACCTGAAATGTTAACTCTGATTTCTCTTCACAGAGGCTGTCAGACCTACTGAGATTTTCCAGCAACTCTGGTTTTGGTTGTGTTTAAAGGATACTGCTATATTGGAACAGTTAATGGTTAGTAGTTAAATAATATATTCTTTTGTTAAGTATTTTAATAGAGTTAAAGTTATACCATTCTTCTTTTATTTGTATTTAACTGTAAGAATAAAGTGCATTTTGCTTAAAGCCTAGCAGTGGACCAATCGAATCACATCTGGAATACAGCATCTTACACTTGCTGTAAAGTATATATAAAGTTAGGGTCTAGGCAATCTCCTTGTTAGATTTTGAGCGGGTTTGGTCTGGTCCACAACACAGTCCTTTTAGAAACAAAATCATGTCTTCATACCGAAAACTCCTATCATTTTGTGGGATACTAACACGGTGTTAAATGGCAAAGATTCAGAACAGATACAGTAAACTAAAGTGAAACACCCAGGAGGTGGAGTGGCCCATCAGCAGGCAAAGTATTAGATGACAATCTACAATCTCTCCATCTGGCACACGTCTCACTTTGCCATTACCATTAAGCCAGGGATCAATAAGAAACGTAGAATAGTTTGCCAACAGCAGCACGAGACATAACTAAAAAAAAACAAAACGCCAACATGGTAAAGCTACAACACAAGCCTAAACACACGCTAAACAGTGAAAGCCAAGTGATTCCACAACCAATGGATTAATTCAAACCTTTACATTCCTCCCACATCCAGTCATAAGCTATTTGTTTATTGACTCATTCACATATTCATTAATTCATTTCATTCACAGGATATATGTGTCTTTATTGCCCTACCGTAAGGGGCTTTGAGAAAGTGGTGGAGACTTGCTACCCTAGCGGAGACATACATTACCAAGGGGACACTGGTTTAAGTGTTTGCTGAAAGGATGGGAAGGGACATGAGCAAAAGTTTTTTCACCTAGACGTGAAAATTCATTGCCCATCAGTCAACTCATTTAAAAGGAATCTAGATCTGCACCTGAAGTGCTGAAACTTGCAAGGCGAGGGACCGAGTGTTGTTAAGTGGGATTAGAATGCGCCTCTGGTTTATCCAGCCAATGCAGACACAATGGGCTGAATGGCCTCTGCCTGTTTTGTAAGGTTTCTGTGCTTCTATGGTTTTCCTGTGATTCTTGAACAGCTACAATCTATGTGGTGTAAGTACGTCCACAGCTGGATTAGAAATAGGAGGGAATTAAAAAACACGCTGTAGCGAAAGGAGTCATGAAAATTCCCATCCTAAAATCACGGGCAGCCTAACACTTCAGTGAAAAAGACAAGGCTAAAAAGTGCTTGCATAAATCCTCAGCCATAATTGCTCAACAGATGATCCATCTTGGTCTTTTCTCAAGGTCCCCAGCATCACAGCTGCCAGCCTTCTGCCAACTTAACACTTTCCTAAAACCAACCTTAACCCCAAATCTTTGGGTTATTGCTTCTTAATATCACTTTCATTGGCTCAGCAACATTTTTATCCTTTTACACTTTCCAATTGCTTTTTCTAGTAAATGATGCTATTAAATTTAAAGTTATTTGATTAGTGATTTTTTTTAAGTAAGTCTTCATTTTGCAAAAGAAAAGATTGCCAACATTATCAACATTTTCTTATAATTAAAGTTCATGTCCAATAAAATCACCTCGAAAATGGAATGTTTTTCTTTAATCACAATTGTAGGTTTCAAGTAGGATCTGATAAACATCTTACACAGCAAGAACACACCCTACTGATCTGCAGTCTACCTTTTAATATTGCTACCTTTTCATTTAATTAACGAAGGCAACTAACTTTATGACTGTGTGTGGTCCATGACTTACCATAGGGGGTCGTGCATAGGCAACAACAGCAGCTGCTGCTGCAGCACTCATCTGAGGGGAGATATTGTGCAAGCCTGGATATCCTCCTGGGCTGTTCAGGTCTCCGTTGATGCCAGAATGAGGCACTATCCCAAAAGGTGAAGGATAAGGGCCTGGTACTGCCAAGGGTGGCCTTAATGCTGAGGCTGTAAAGTAATTGTGAAAAAGGGTTACTTTTTTTTTTAAATTTGCCCAATGTGGATCAGGCTTCAGATTCAAAGATAAACCTATACCTTACAACTCTAAAATTTTCATTATTGCAGGACAGTTTGCAACTAATTACAAATGCACAAGTACTTTTTCAAAATATAGATCTGCTGAATTGACTCAAAGTGCTGACAATTTAAATTAATGTCACATGCTGCTCTGCAGCATTCCCTTCATAAATTAGACTTTAAATATGGAAAAAAAGTCATTTTATCAAATGCTTCACCATTTGTACACAAAGAATGATAGATTATAGAATACTTACGTAACGAGTCCATTCCTGGAGGTTTGCAGAGGCCCGGACGTGGTCCTGAAGACGCACTCGTGCCCGGAGTTGGCACATCACCTCGCGGGGTTGGGGTACTGGATTTCATCACTGGGGTGCTGGCCTTTTCATGCTACAAAGTTATGTTTAAAAGTATACAAATTATTCCAATGCTTATAATATTAATTCAATTTCATAACTAACAATAGCTGTATGTTTAAAAAAAATTCAAACCTTTTTCTTACAAAAGTTGACCAGGATAGCAAATACATGC